AACAGTGATTCAAACAGCACCAAATGACGGTGTTGGCGCATCTTTGAACAGCTTCTTAGGTATTCCAGACTTCTTTTCTGCATTGCCCTATTAGAAGAAAATGCATTTAAGTTTGCTTTTTAAAATTTTTAATACAGCCACAGTAACTTCAGGTCAATGTGCCCACTGTGGTTGGCACCAACTCCGAGAGCAGGTCAGAGATGCCTGGGCTTCCAGCCTTTGACTTCTTTGCTTCTGTGCCATGTTCTGCTACCCTCCTTGCATGGAGCAGTCTACCCGTGATCTCTTGTGCCTTTACTGCCCCTCATGTCAGGTGAAACCCAGTCCATAGTTTCACCGAAGGTGAACCTCACTATCTTGTTTAGTCTCTGCAGTGGACTGGGAACCCCATCCTTGGGCAGTGCTCATCATGGGTTTTGGTCTATTTCTGCACAGGTTTTCACCCCACTGCATTCCCTGACATTCCAGAGACACTGAGCATGTGCTCCATGGCTCGGATCCTCCTCCCCATGCCTGGTGTCTGCATCCACCTCCACCCACCACAGGCAACCTCGGGACATGCAGCTGGCTGCCCAGCAGCTGGAAGTCACAGGGATGTTCTGGGTGCTAGAGCAGGGAGCACAGTGGAATTTCTAATAATCCTGTTGCACAGACATGGCACTTGGACTGGCCTAGCCCCCCTGCCTTTGCACGCACTGTCCTTTCTGCCCAGCCACCCCTCCCATGCAGGGTCGAACTAGAGGTGGCATTTTGGTACTGATAATGCTAATACTTATTGGAGGTATTCTTGTCACTTTGAATTTCATGTCTTGATGAAACTTTGTTTTTTTCTCTCAACACTGATCTATTTTCTGTGTCTTTCAGTACTTAGAATAGAAAGTAGGCATTTAGTAAAAATTTTTTGAATGACTAAATATTATATTAAAGAGCCTTTAAAAGGGTAAATATAGATTATGGCCAGATCCTACAATAGACATATTAGTATCATGTAAGGTGGATTTTCTCAGAAAAGGGCAAGAGAAAAAAATGGGGAAGAATTTTGGGTATATTGTTCTAAGAAGGATGAATTGTGTGTAAGTTATTAGGGTTTACCTGCGTCCTTAGTCCTGAAGACGACTTCTCTTGTAATGCACCCAAACAGCTAGAGGACAGGGGGCTGCTTGACTCTCTGCCTGGGGGTGATCGTGATGTACTTGGAAAGAGAAGGACTTTCTGCATTTCCCACAGTCTAAGACATGACTAGCCCTCCAAAACTAATGTAGTTCAAGGTGCCCGAGGATGGCTTCAACACAGTATTATTACAAAGACATCACTGATATGCCCACTTCTCTTGTCTTTTTAACATTTCTTTTCTGCAGCTTTACTCTTCCTTCACTTTATAGAGTGAAAAACTCTTACATTTATGTCCCAAATCAGGAGATCTATTTCTTTCTGAGAATTTGATTTCCTTAAATTCTTTCTAGCTAGAATGTTGACTGTAGGGCCTGCCTGGCATATATAAAGCATTAAACATGTATTTGTTAAACTGACTTTGTTGTTTCAGCATCTCCCCTTCCCCTTGTCCCTTCTCTTTGGGTGCTTCTTTCACCTGCCTCATTTACCTCCCAGCCCGTGGTCCTCTAGCGTGTTCACAGATCTGCAGTGTTTTACTAGGCAGGAAGCAAAGTGCAGCCACCTGGAGGTCTGCTTGCCACCAGGAAGCCATGGAAGGAGGCGTGATAAGGAGAAGCTACCAATAGGAAAGATCACCAGGGATAAAGAATTAATTTCATTTTTTCTGGTGGATTCATGTTTATTGTCAAATAAGTCATAAGTACACATATTGGTTTTTGTGCTTTTATGGGTTTAGATTATGTTTTGCATAAATCTATAGTCTTAAAACATCAAAAAATGAATATTGAGGTTTGCCAATTAAAACATATTCATTTAATTTTGTTTTCCCACAGAATTTTGTACGTCATCACTGGGTGCACAGGCGTCGGCAGGAGGGAAAATGTAAGCAGTGTGGTAAGGTAAGGGCCCAGTCACCCCATGGCTGTAGCAGGAGGCTCCTCAGGCCTTTGCAAGCACCTGAGGCAGATGAGTCCTGTCCCCACATCCGATGTTCAGTACATCAATTCCTTTCTGAAAGACCTTATTTCTGCAGATTCCCTTTCTGTAAGATGTGTTTTAGTGGTTCTAGAACTCACTGCAAAAGCCAGTGGTCTTAATAAAAGGAATTAGCCCATTTTAAGAGAGAGGGATGCATTCTTACAGTGAATTTCCTGCTTGTTGATTTTTGAAAACATAACTTTTCCTATTTTGTTAAAACTCCCTCATGAGGACTACTGGCCCATCTTATATATTTGATCAGTAATAACAAATCAATAGGTTGTTGAGAAACACTACTTTTGCTGAGATGTGATTGTGGGTTGGGCAGAACTGTTTATGATAACATGGTCGGAAGCTAGAAATGTGTTGCTCTCTGAGGACATGATCTAGTTCCTGGAAAGAGATGCCCTCTGACTTTGTGGTTGTTTATGTCTACTCTCTCTTGTGCTGTGACATGTGAAAGGCCCCTCAGCATGCAGTGCCACTTGGAAAAGTGAGACAGGGCAGGGGTGGGGGTGTTACAACTGTATGCTGCTAAACTCCATACATCCCACGTGTTACTGACTCTAACCATTTGGCTTTTTCCAGTGTACAAAGATCTACTTTAGGGATGCCAGCATCCTCTGGGAGGGTTAAGCTGGTGGTGAATCACACTGTAAAGATTTTTTTCTAAGTGACATCAATAATAAGCTGATAGGCATCAGTAGAGGGAAGTTTTGATTTGGCAGAAAGCAAGACAATTTAGGAGAATATATTCATTATCAATTATTAACTTATTTATTCATGTGACTTCATTCAAAAACTGGGGGGAGCTGACCAGTATGGCACTTTTGACAATAAAGGGGTCCAAGGAAACGGTGGCTGCCTGAGGTGGGGTTGTGGAGGGTGAGGGAGACTTGGAAAATGTTTCATTAATTTTGCTGTCTTGCCCAGTGCCTGGGAAGAAAGTATCATGCTGTAGCCATTGGTTACCAAGTTCTTCTGCAGAAGGCTACAACCTTAGCCACAAGAGCGTGGTCCTCCACTGGAACTAGTATTATTTCTTCCACTTCAACCCAGGGGCTCTCAGCTTGTTCCCTTTTAGCTTGCAAAGAGGACGAACAAAATAGGTTGAAAGGGGCATGAGATAAAACGAAGAAGATGAGGAGGAAGTGGAGAGTGGAAATATTCCTGCTAGCCTTTCTACGTGTTCGTAAAGGAAGTCACGCCTCTAGTCTCACGTGACGTTCTTTCTGTTGGCCCATCTACCTCTTCCCTCTATGGTGTTGCCTTGGGGCCCTGGATTTTCTCTTCGTGGATTGTAGACTATAACTTTCCCATGAGTGTGTGTATGTGTGTGTAGGAGAGAAGAGACAGACAGGCAGACAGCCAATTTTGGGGTCAGAGATGTGAAGAGTAGGAAGGATATGGATAAATAGGTTCTTCACTTTGGAAAAATATCTTTACTGGACAGCCTAGTAGCTGGCATCACTTCAACAATTCAAGCCATAATGGAGTTGGAGGAATTTTATTAAAAGAAAATCAATAAACAATATATTTTGTGATGAGCATTCCCCAGTGTCATATTGCACTCCCTTTTCTGGCTTCATCTTATGTTGGCATGGTCACCCGAGTGGGAAGAACTGGACTGTTGGTGCCCTGGGTTGCTGTGGTCCTGTCTCCTGCCCAGTGTTCTCAGGCGGCTGTCTTGGACTGCTCACAGCTCTCTGCACATCACGGTTATCAGTGGGAAAGTCAGTGATCCCAGCCCTTCAAGTAACCTTCCCATAATACTGAATTATTATAGTCATCTCTTGTGTTTGTAATCTAGCTGCTCATGCATTCTTAGAGACTCAGCAATTATGGGATGGGATGGTCATCGATCTGTGTTTCCTTGCCAGATAATAAATAACCCTTTTTTGGAACCCAGTTTCTACCGTGGACTAGAAGAAAGCTAATACTCTATTTCCAGTTAAAGATTAAGTGATTAAAAACTCACTTTAAACCTTGGTGCTATACATAATTTTCATCAGTAGGGTTGTATATTCATATATATCCATAGACTTCTAAACCCTATTCCACCCCCGTACACACACACACACACACACACTATTCCATAATTTACTCATTGAGATGGAGTGAAAAATAATAATTTTATTTAGCAAAACATTTTTTTTCAACTGATGGTTTATAAACTTTGGGGATTTTTAGTGTTTATGGCTAAAGAGTGTTTATGGTTTCAATTTCTACTTTTTAAATCAACAATAAGTACTTGGACTGATTTTCTCTTGAGCCTGAATATGTGTTTGGCTGAGTGTGTGTGGCTTGTAATGGATGTCAGATGAGAGAACTCATGATTCAGTTGCTCAGTTTCTTTAACATTAGTCAAATACCTCAGAATGCCAAGTTTATGACCATTCCTTAGTTTTAGATTGTTGTCATTCATAATCCTATATTATGTAAGAGTCGGAGTTGAGGCAGAAAAGAGATGAAACACTCGCACTCAGATTATATAATTTGATGAGAGTTTAATAAAGAGAATGTTTAAAAATGTGTGAGCAGACTGTTGGGAAACCACAAAGGCTAGTGAAGAATGCTGAGGCTAGTAATGGCAGAGAGCCATGATCAAGCCAGGGCTGAAGAGGCAGGAGATGGAGAGGACGGAGCTGTGACCTTTAGTCACAAGATGCAGCCAGCCCAAGGTGACCCACCAGCAGAGGGAATAAATATCCCTCTTTACTTTCAATTTTAGTGGTCACACCCAGTGGAAACCAGAGCACAAGAGACTCTGCTGAAGCAATCCATAAAAGCCAGATTTTTACAACGGGACATAGGGTAGAGAAGAATGTAGAGTGGGACTGGAGAGGCAGATGGGATCCATCTAGCACATGTTGTTCCATGTAGACCTGTATTCAGTCCATGGTTAAAGGCAGAGCACATTCCTATTCTGCACACGTATTTCTGACTGATCTTCTCAACACGTTGCATTCACTCAGTCAACACTCACTAAGCACTGAGCTGTCCACAGTACTTTATAAAAAAAACAATGTGCAAAGAAAAAGTATAGTAATGACTAGCTAATTTGACCATTTATTTTTTTCAGGGAACCACACATCCAAACATTACAGTATGGTAATTGCAGAAGCATATTTGTAAATCACAAGTTATCTTTAATTTCTTCAGTTAGAAAGATATGTGAAAGTTATAAAATAAACCAGCTAACTTTGAAACTCACAACTCAAAAATTTCAAACACCAAATCTTGAAAACAGTTTTTAATGCAGAAATACTTTGATCTACATTTCTGATACCTTTTAGGTCCCTAACCAAATATGCCACATCATTATGAATTATTTGTCTATAAATCACATGCATTTTCATATTTAATTAGTTTAAGTAAATTAAACAACATGCAGCATTTATTAATGGGAAAATGTCAAAACTACTCTTTATTTGTAATGAATAATGTTAAAAAGTAATTTTAAATAAATTTAAAAGTGAAATATGTAAAATATACACATCTAAATGAAGTATACCTGGTAACATTTTTGTAACGCAAAAATGACAAGATGATTAATATTCTATGGGGGTGCAGTTGAGATATTATGTGGATAGTAAAAGAGATTACAGTCTAAAAATAATGAAAAATAGTGACTTGGGGCTCTTTGGGATTCTCTCCTGATCTGAAAATGTGTGTGCCCTGAGGTCAGCTTTCAGACCTTGCAAGGTTAGCGACAAGGAATGGAAGCTCAATGGTAAAGATCCATGCACTGGTTGGGCAGGTTTGGTTGTTTGTCTGCCAGTATGTTTGTCCAGCTATAACAGAGGAATCTTCTGCCATTGGCCTCAGGAGGACCACTGAGGAGGTGTAGAGTGGGTATACGACAAGGGCAAGGAGTCCAGGCCTCTCTGGGGAGCCCCTGCCCACGTGACTGCTGGAAACCAGGCTTTTCTTTCTGTCCTTGATTGAGTATCAAGAAAGGGGACAAAGGCAACCACCATAGTACTCTCTGCTCCTGCGAGTTTGACTATTTCAGATTCCTCCTTTAAGTGGTATCGTATAGTATTTGTTTTTAGTGTGTGTCTGGCTTCACTTAGCATGATGTCCTCCAGGTTCATCCTGGGAGAGGGAAACAGGGAGGTATATTAGTCAAAGGGTACAGAGTTTTGGATACAAGATAATTAAGTCCTAGAGATCTACTGTATAGCATATTGCCTATAGGTAACAATACTACTGTATTGAATACTTAAAAATTTGCTAAGAGGGTAAATCTTATGTTAAATTTTCTTATCACCAAAAGAAAGAAAAATACAGAGAAAGAGGGAGGAAACTTTTGGAAGTGATGGATATGTTTTTGGCATAGATTGTGGTACTAGTTTCATGGGTATACACTTATCTCCAAACTCATTAAGTTGTATATATTAAATCTGTACAGCTTTTTGTTTGTCAATCATACCTCAATAAAGTGGTTTAATAAAAGAAAAAGAGAAGGGACAGGGCTGAGGGCATGGGCAGTGCTCCTGCTGCAGTCCCCAGGTGGTTAAGTCACTCACTTCTCCCCTACAGAGCCATTTTGCTGCTGTCGCTCCTCCCCTGGTCTTTGGCATGGTCAGTGTCCTGGTAGTCACAGCTGGTATGGCGCTCGGATCACCCTGGGACCCTTTGCTCTTTCTTCAGGAGTGCCCCCACCCTCACACCCCCTGTGCTTGCTGCTGCTGGGGCTGTGTGTAGAGCAGAGGCCCAAACTTCAGGCCAGGGGATAGAGAGGGGACACTTCCTGCAGTAGTCCTCAGGTCCCAAAAGGTTCCAGGTGCCCAAGCAAATGACCCATTTCCTTCCTGCTCATGGCTTTTCTGCTCCCAAGAGGCAGATGGTCCTGAGAGACAAATGAACTCCCATCCCTCTCCCTCATTTCCTCGGTGAGGCCAATTCTGCTTCCACA